CTTTCCCTGCGGTGCCTGCCCCGCGGCGCGCATGCGCGGGCCCGGCTGCCTGCCCCCCCGCTTCGAGCCCCCCTGGGAATGCCCAACGGAGTTTTAAGATTGAGCCACACGTTTGTTAGAAATGAAATGTAGTGTTGATTCTAGTGTTAGAAACATAGTGTCGGGTTTGGTTTATATATATATATATGCATATATCCTAGCGTTGGAAATATATAGTTTGTTTGAGAGAAGGGAGGTTTCTGCGCATTCCATGACACCAGGAGTGGTTTATGGCCCAAGAAACTGAGGGAGTGAATTGGGCTCCATCCGGGGGATCCGAACATGGAGCAGGATTTGTGGCCCAAGATCAGACCCAACAAAGCCACTTCTGCCTTGCTGCTCGGGGCAGGATGGCACCAGTAGGTACAGATCATTTTGGTAGTTGGGAAGACAGCCCAGGGGGCAAGAAAGGTCAAAATTTTACCTTAAAAGGTAAAAAGTAACCTGCTAAAATGGAATGTGTAAACAGGGGCGGGAAACTTGAGGGTAATTTGAAGCGTCAGGTAGGATGCAAACCCTGGAGTACCCAGCCAGTGGGGAAACAGGGGAGGGAACTTTGTGTCGGGAATAGGGAACATAAACCGTTATTCACCTTACTGTGGGTGTGCTGCTTGTTTAGGTCACCCGTTCTTGCAGGAGTGTAAATAAACTGTGCTTCGTTGAAGGATCTGTGTGGGCCTGTTCATTGCATGACAAATGCTTCTCACAAATAGAAGAGTCCCACCACCATGGGGCATCTGCTGGGCTACCCAGCCGGTCTCCCCTTCTCTTCCCGCCCGCTGCAAGGCTCTCGCTGAGGACACACACTGAGTGGGTTGCGGTGGAGCGCCCAACCCAAGTTAACTCCTCACCACGCCTGCCCCTTGGCTCCTACCCCTGCTCTGCTTCCCAGAGCAGGGCTGACATCAGTGTTCGTAACCCTGTGGCTGAACATGGAACCGACGGACCTCAAAGGTGGCAACTCCCCTCCCGCCCCAAAAAACCAAAAAGCAATCAGAAAAATAAATTATATATTTTGGTATTGCAAATGGTTGTGTATGCTGAGTCCCAAGGATTGCACAGAGCTCAGCATATTTGCAATGCAAGTGGTAAATTCTTAAGGCATAATTGGTACGGAAAATATGTTCCTCAACTAAGCACACCCTCAGCCTCCAATATGTCTCACCCTCCAATGGCCACAGCTGGGTATCTCTTTGTCCTGGTCCTCAATTGTCAAGAATTGATGTCTCTGACAGGCATCCCTGCTGGAGAGGAGAAGGTCCAGCACACCTCCTGGAGAAGTCTTCGATCAAGGATGATCTGGAAGTGTCTCCGATCAAGGATGGAACCAGGCTTTTATAGAATAAAGTGGATCGACTGATGTCATTTAACTATTTAGCCATACGTCCAAAATCTCTCGTTGGAGAATAAAAAGAAAACAGCAAACTCTTGTTCATCTGTTCATTCTTATTTTATCTCCATTTTGGGCCTAGTTGTGGCTAGGCTGGGCTCCATCTTTTTCAACACTGGAGACCAGCTGGTGTTAGGAACATCAACTTGGCCCAACAACTTTCAAGGTTGTTAACAGCTCAGTTTGCTAGGCCCTTTCCTTTCCTATGCACATCTTTCCACTCCAGGCCCGGGCCTATAAAACTGAGAGACAAGAAGCAATTGAATCATAGAGAGAAACTGAGGCAGGCATACTGAGAGATGGAGCATCCTGCTACAATTAGAAAAGCAAACGCAGGCTTGGTATCAGCTTTTAGGAGGACTGAAAATTACCAGCCTTTCTTCAGCTTTAATACAGGTGACAGTACAGAGCCCTGGCAGCACTCAGCATCCTACCTTTGTGCTGCTGCCGTGCACGCCCCCTAAGGCCCGCTGTGCCTTGGCACAGACTGAGCTGTGTAAAAGAAGTAACATCAAGCTACCCGTTTTCACATCTTAGGGATGAAAGCCTTAAAAAAATCAGAGAATAGTGACACTTGCTATCATAAAATCCACCTGTGAGTAGACAGATAGTGCAGTTTTCAGTTGTCACCAGGGACAAAGCAGTTATTGCTAACATACACAGGCAAGTCTATACAGAGGTGTCTTGTGGAGTCATTTTTGGCATGCAACTTGTAGGAAGCTTGAATTTTACAAGTCAGTTCTGTGCTACTAAGCAGCTTTAGCCATTGTTCATGCAGTAACAAGAGCAACAACAGCAGCTGCCCTCCCAGAGAACAAAAAGCAGTGTAAAAAGGTTGATGAGAAGGCATTTTTCCTCGGCTATCTTGAGTGCGTATCACTGTGAGGATAGACTTGCTGGGGACGTTGTTCTGCAGGCAGGGAGCGGCTCTGCAGCTGGAGAAAGCACTATCCTGGGGATATGTGTGGGGC